TCGATTTTGAAATTGAGTATTGTTCGCATTTGTATGAGTGTAGTCGATGAATCGATAAAGCAAGAACATATGAGTTTTTGATTCGCAATTGGATTGATGATTGAGGGATGATTCGTGAAGAAAAACGCGAAGTCAAGGACTATGAAATTGTTGTTTGCAAGAATTTAAAAACTCGATTGTGGAGTTGTTGATGCTCATTTTGCGAAAGTAAAACAATCGAGTGTTCGCATCTATGAATCAATTTGAAGTCAATTGGGTTAATATTCGCATATGGGTTCAACATATGAAAATTTTGATTTCGCAAGTTTAGAGTTCAAGAACTAAACTGTGTTCGCATCTGGAATGAAAAATTTTGTGAATCGCATTTGATTAATTAGGTTAAAATGCGAAGGTGATTAATGCGAAGGGATGCGAAGGGTGTAAGAATGAAGATGCGAAGTATTTCACAGTAGAATGCGAATTGGGGAAGAAAACAGAAGATTTCAAATATTGTCCCTGGAGTTTCGCATTTTTGGAAATAAATACTCAACTTCGCAAATGGGGGTCATAAAATGATGAAATTGCAGAATTTTTAAAGAGATACACACACATAGACAACCACACATATATTTAGAAAATTAAACTAAAAATGGGATATAGACAATTATAAGACATTGTTCTTGACTTTTGAGTCCAAAGACGTATGATCCGAACTTTAATTGTGAAATCGTCCTTGATTGAGTCAATTTCCTTTATAGGAGTAATATATTCCATTGTGCCTTGCAAGTTAAAAAAAAAAAAAAAAAAAAAAAAAAAAAAAAAAATTCAAGTCACAAGCAACCACCCCACACCCACTCTATGACCAGCCATACCTCCCCACCTTACCTATGTCACTTCAATGTTCCCTTACACTCAAATTTCACTCACTCCCACGTTTTTGAGCTGGAACAATCAACCACACTCCTCATTTTCTCTCATTTCTCTCATTCCACTAAGTAACAAACATCACTTTTTCTCTCAAACTCTTCTACACAAATTTTCGAGATCCAAGGCTGGATTCAAGTGTTCTTCCACACTTAGTAAGTAAAAATTCATCCTCCTATTATTATTTCACTTCATTCTACTCAAATCTTTGGTTGCTTACACAAACTCCCTAACTATGATGTTAGATTCTCGAAAACCTTCAAGGCATCTCCAAGTGTTCTTGAATTAAACACTTCCATTCTTCAACAATCATCTACTGAAATCACTCAAGGTGAGTTCATACCCCTACTTTTTCATGTTTTCTCAAGTTTTCAGGGGAGAATACAAGTTAAAACACTAAGAACATAACTAAATTTCTCTAACAGCCTTCATCAGAAAAGTTCAACTCCATTCACGGACTGTTTTGGGCATCTTAAATATTTTTTTTTCAAAACTGTACAAGGTGCAAATAGTTCAAGTTTTTAGCTTTAAAATGGCTACTTGCACATCTCCATACGATTTTTCTACAATTTATGGCGATTTTTACAAAACTGCCTATCACTTCAAACAACAATCCGGACCAGTCTGTGATTATGGACTTTTTCACCCAAGTTAGAGGTCATTATAAATTGTGATAAAAATTATGAGCAAACTAGACACATTTTGTGAACTCTCAGAATTTACGGATCTAGTTTTCGACTTTGTATGATTTTTCTATGATTTTTCCGAAACAGGGCAGAATTGCTAAATTTTACCAACAGCATGTAAATATCATAACACTTTGTATTATGTTGAGCAAAGTGTATAATCATAAGTTTTAATGTTTGAATGTGTTTCCTAGTTAGTTTATCATTATGAACTGAAACTAAGACATTCATACTAAATATTATCCATTCATTTTGGAACACGTATTATTTAACTATAAAAAGTATAGTTTGAATATATTTATAACACTAATACATTTCCATAAAAGGGTTCATACATATTATACACATTTTAGATAAACTATAATAGGTATAGTTTATGATACATCACTCTACGCACTCGTACCAGAAGTGTACATTCATATAAGAAAGATTTCTATTCGCACACATTTCACGTAAGTTAATCTATGGTTTGATAAATTCACAACACTAATACATTTCCATAAAAGGATTCATACATATTATACACATTTTAGATAAACTATAATAGGTATAGTTTATGATACATCACTCTACGCACTCGTACCAGAAGTGTACATTCATATAAGAAAGATTTCTATTCGCACACATTTCACGTAAGTTAATCTATGGTTTGATAAATTCACAACACTAATACATTTCCATAAAAGGATTCATACATATTACATACATTTTAGATAAACTATAATAGGTATAGTTTATGATACATCACTCTGCGCACTCGTACAAGAAGGGTACATTCATACAAGAAATATTTATATTCACACACATTTACGTAAACTTGTTATCCTATATTGAGTTTCTCTATTTCTCTCTCTCTCTCTCTCTCTCTCTCTCTCTCTCCCCGTACGTCCGAGTGCGGGAATATAATTCCTGGTAGTTATAATCAGAATCTCCTTGAGGGAGAACGTGATACTTGTATATAGATCTATATTGGGATTGACACCCCACACCTTGCTGCTAGCTACAGTTGGACCTGCAGGTCTACGGGTGACAAATGTCATTTTATTTTTCGCGACACTGAGAACGTCGTGGCAGGTTCACATAGTCATAGTATGATTACAACGGCTCACATAGGGAACAATCCATAAGTTTACGGGATTTTATTTTTAAAACCTAAATGAGTTTTATGTCGATTTAAAATTACCTTTTATCTCTATGAGTACAGATATTACTGTACACTTTTGGTTTTGGTAGTTACGACTACACATCATTTGAAACCACATTTATACTTTTAAGTATGGTCAATACTTGTTATTACTCGGTCCTCTAATTTAGGACTACGTATATATAATGTATTAACAAACCTGAGAACATATAGAAATTTCATTTAGTTCAAACATGTCCATGTCCATTTAAATACATAACATTTTCTATTAATAAGAAAGATTACTTATACATTTTGGTCTTCAGTCATAAGACTACCTTACACAGATTTTAAAGAAAATATAGGATTTTCTGGATACATATTCTGACGCTTTTACAAGGAAAACGATTTACTTTTCTAACGAAATCTCTTATGAACTCACCAACCTTTGTGTTGACACTTTTCAAAACTACTTGTATTCTCAGGAATTCAGTGAAAACAGGAAATCAACAACGTTTTGAGGATGGGACGATAAATCGTCAAACAATTCATTTTGTATTATAATGTAATTGATGTGAATCATGTAAACATGTGCTTTTGATGTAACGTTTTCAATTATATTTGTGTTGGTTGTATTTACTTTGAGCACTATTATACTCATTGTTGTGATACTCTACATGAAGTCTCCACCCCCGGACGTTTCCGCCATCCTTGGTTTGGG